GATCAATCTAAAATTTGGAAGATTCTGAAATAGGTCTTTTCAATTAATGTATGTATAGCTTACATAATTGAAAATTATGACCTAAAATTTCATAGGTTTTGATTTTTTTTTTAAAATTTCATTGCTAATGTTTGATTAAAAAATTATTGAGTTTATGAATTAGTAATTCAAAACATTGTCTAGCATATTATACATCCAATAAACTGGGTCAGTAACTTCTCTCTTTTCATTTAATTAATTTATGCATTCACCATTCTACTGATTACCTAATAATATGTGCGTGCTTCATGGGTGTTGCTGATCTAGTTCTTTTGGCCCGGTGGTGGTCGGACAGAAGTTAATTCAACACTTTTGGAGGGTCTCACCGAAGGCGGCCGCTTCGTTGAAAAAGTGAAGATCAACAGGTTTACAGGATCCGAAATCGAATTGGGCTTTCTGAAATTAATACTCTCTAATTCGACGGCATTGCACGAGATTGTTCTTTGTGAAGCGAAAGACATCGATGAGACTTTGGCTTCCAAGGCTCCGAAGAAGCTCTTAAGCTTTCCTCGTGCATCCCCAGAGCAAAGCTTGTCTACCTGGAGTACGACCCCGACTTCGTGCGGAAGTTCTTTTGAAACTTTTTCCTAGCCAACTAGGGATGGTAAAGTGGTAAACCTAGAATGGCAATGTGATTAAGACCAGAACTAATTACGATAGTATAATGGTACGGTTCCACCGAAGTACGTAACTTTATTTTCGCAATATTTATGTAAGAATGGAATTATGGAATCCTAGCTAGTATGTATTCCATGTACGTAGATTCTAAACCGTAAAACCGGTTTTAAATGTCAAAGTTTTTAACTTAGCTTCTTTGATGTTCTATTAGATAATCAAGTGTGTGTTCGCTAAACCTGATTGGAAAATTAATTTTTTTAATTTATTAGTAGTGGTAAACTTTTAGTTATTGGAAAGCCTTAAAAGGAAATAGTTTCTAATCTAGTAGAGAAAAGGGTTAATATCAAGGTATTTTATAGGAAAGTCGCACTTTTAGTCCCTGAAATAGTCACGAAAATGAAATGTCGGACCCGTATTCCCAAGTTTGTAAATGTCGTCCCTCAATTGTCATAAATGTTGTAAATATGGTCCTTTTAGGATTGAAATAATTGCGAGAGTACATTTCACCCCTTAAAGGACCACAATTACAACATTTTGGACAATTGAGGGGTGACATTTACAATATCAAAAATACGGGTCCGACATTTCATTTTCGTGACTATTTCAGGAACAAAAAGTGTCATTTTCCCTATTTTATACTTACCTACTATGTCACTTAGAAAGGTCAAAAGTACTTTACGAGGACTAGGCTTACATAATATCGTTATATCTTTTAACGACGCTATAACTCTACAAGTGCATGAGACAATTTTCACCAACGTATAGGTGCATGAGATACTTTTCACCAACCTAAAACACACAAATAGAATCCAAAAAAATAAAAAATGGGAAAAATTGAAAATAATAATTCCAACTATTGTGGATCCGCTAATAATAATCTCAACTATTGATTATTTTTTTTATAATCCCAACTATATGTATTGTCCGCCAATAATGGTCTGTGACCAGATAACAAGTGAATTTCAAATAGAAGTTAAACGTAAAATTTAAAAGTTGAGATTATTTATAGAAATTACTTGATATATCTCTTCTCAATCACTTTACAAACTATATGAATTTATTTATAGCCGGCCATGTCGAACCATTATTGGCGGAAGGTCGCTAAAGTTGGGATTATTTTGAAATAATCGATAGTTGTATTATTATGAGCGGACCGTCAATAGTTTATATTATTACTATCAATTTTTCCTAAAAAAATATTGAGTACTCAACAAAATTCACAAACACCTATATTATTAGTGCCTATAAGTAGGCTTAGAAGCTTTTTGCCAAATGTATTTGCATGATTAAGGGGCCGTTTGGAGCCCATAAAATGGGCTGATAAGTCTTAAAAGATAAAAAAAAGTGCCAAACACTAGCCAATTGGGCTGTTTGGGCTGATATTTCTGATCAGCCAGAAAAGTATCAATACCCTGACTTTATCGGCTGAAAGGTATGAATTTACCGTTGAAAAGGTAAACTACCCCTTTACCCTCCCTTCTCTATACCCGTAATACATCTGCCGCTTCTAGCACTTCTGGATCGGCCACTTCCAACTTTCATCTGCTCCGCTGCTTAGCTTGGTCCTTCCAGATCGACGAGTTCTCGTTCAGCTTCTCCATGCATATTAAAGGTAAGCTGCTCTGATCGACCTCTTCTTCTTCTCGCTCGCACATCCATCATAATCTTTAGAACTTTTACATAAGTGCTTGATTTCTTCCTGCAAATCAAGAAGGATCTCGAGGTGGGAGCGTTTTCTTCCTGAAAACTTTCTTTGTCACTGTTAATCAATCATACTGTGATCACTTTTTTGTTTCAGCAACTTGAAAACTATTAGGCTATGAAAAGGAAAGAAAAAAAATTCTTATGCTCGGTTTTGTCTCAGAATCGGCAAAGCAAAATGAATATGATTGATGTCAGTTAGCTTTTAATATGTAGTACTACGTATATGATTAGATTGCTAAGCGTTTATATGATAGCTATAAATTAGTAAATAAGTAAATATCCTTAACAGTAATTTTATATAGAATCAGCCATTCCAGCCAATAAATTACCAAGCACTTTTACTTCGGCACATTCAGACTTTTCAGGCTTTTCAGCCCAAACAGCTGGACCAACTGCTTCCAAACGGCCCCTAAGAAGTGTTGGGTATAAAAGAGTCCATAAGAACAAAAGATGTACACGTCGCCACATTGGACGGATTTCTCCCAGTAAAGGAAATAGTACTACATAATTGACTTAGCATTCGCTTTCCACTACAACATTTCGGGTTTTTCGCGACGCTAAAAAACCGTTGCATAATAATAAAAAACCGTTGTCTTTGTTTTCGGCAACAATTTGAAAACTGTGGCAATGTAAGGCGTTATCTATACTTTTGGAAACGGTTTTTTACATTTAAAGGCAACACAATAAGAAAACCGTACTCGTAGGGTATGTCATAGAGAACGATTTTTATAAGTAGATAAGACAACGGTTTTAAGCCGTTTCTATCAATAGTAACAAAAAAAACTGTTGCCATATATGCAAGATACATTTTTTAACTATTACGACTAAGCAAATGACAACATTAAAAATGCGGCAATTTTGCTCTTTAAAAATGGATACATTTCACTCTTCTATGCACCAACAAAATAGTTCATAATAATCACTCACAAATCACAATCCAACCAAGTTCTGCTATATATAATAATCACCTTATCACCATACAAGGTTTGTAAAGTCTAAAACAACACAGTAGAAGTGTCTTAATCCCCACACAACAATCACTTAAAACTTCATCAAATCACTTAAAACCACAACAAAAAGAAAACAAACTTCATCAAATCACTCATAACCATCCATGCTCATGTCTTCATCTTCACTTTCTTCATCACCGTCATCATTTATCTACAAAAGAACATTACTATTTAATTAAATAAATCATATACAGCTGGTCACATAATAATATTATGGTGAAGCAATATAATTATTATTAACTATTTAGTTTAAACACTGCCTTGCATGCTTTAACTTAAAGAAAAATCTGAAAAAGTAATTATCGTTATATGATCTTATAGACACATATGTAATATAATTGATTGAAATACTCAGAAATGAATCACTACCTTAAAAAAACAATAATAGAAAAGGAACAATGAAAAATTTAAGACAGGGAAGGTAGTGCTTATCCTTCAAACTGATATTGCGGAGGAAATACTGAAGTTGAGTTGTATGAGTATGTACCTACAAAAGATATATGTATTATATATTAGTTAAACAAACTAAAGTATTAGTAGTTCTAAACAACTAGAGAGAGATACATGATAGAAAAGGGAGCAAATAAAAACTCTCCATACCGATGAAGTACAAATTTATCTCCGACTAGCACTATAATTATGCTCCACCAATCATAAAGCGACATTGCTTTTATTTTACTCCACACATAAATCAGCATTATATTAATTAAATGTTATGCATACACATACTAGCCTCAACATTTCAAAAGACCTTTTTTGATGTTTAATGGCATATGTGTAAGTTTTTTACATAAAAAATAGAGTCAACAAGACAAGCACTACACTTGAATTTTAAAAACTCCACCTAGCATACTTCAGTAGGAAATAAAAAAAACACTAGCAGGCAGTTGTTACTTTTCATTTTTGCTGATGCTATAAAAAGGGCTAGAGTAAAAATAGAAGAGTATATAAAATCAAAAGAAATTGAACCTCATTATCACATGGGGCATATGTTGATGTAGAAGAATGCAAACCATGGTTAGTATCTGCTGTAATAGATAGAAAAGCTGCAAAGGCACCTAAATCCATTCCAGATTTGTTTGGATTTAACATCGTTAGAAGAAGCCTGAATTTTTCATCTGTTGCTGCCATTTGTCTAGCACATTTGTTCTCTAGCTCTTGAAAGTATCATTTAATACTTTCACCTCAGTGGCGTGTCTTTTTTCTATTTCTGCCAGTTCTTCCTTTTTTTTCAAGAGAGAACGTGTTGTAGTTCTTCCATGGCACCGTACTCTCCCTGGTTTCTCATTTCCAAACACACTCTCAAATGCTTCCTCTGAAGACTTTCCAGAATTCTTAATCAAATCTTGGAGCTTCGTCTAACATATTTGAAAATGCAATGTAATCAATGATTTTGATTTTGATCATTCTTTGGAAATAGATAAAACAGTTAACTAAGACTTACTACTGCTTCATTTATTTCTGGATCCAACTAACTTCTTTCCTTTCCTAATTTGTCGAGTCTCAATAAAAACTTCAGCTCGAGTAGGAGACTCTTTGTTTTCCTTCTTTTCACGCTACAAGGAAGTAATAAGATTAATAAAATTATAAATTTCACAAATAAACACTTAGTGTCAAAATTTAGAAAGTGGACTACCAATCTCTCCCTGATACGAGCAAAGCTTATCGGACCAACTCGATGCCTCCATTTTTGCTGAGATGTATTTTGGGAATTTTGATGACTAATGGCCTGTTACCAGTATACAAAAACAAATTATTAACTTAATAAAAAAGTGAACCAACTAGTTAAGTTAAAATTTTACTTTTACGGTGTCTAGCTTCCAATATTCTATCAACTCCTTAAAGTGCTCTTCTGGTATCTCCTTAGGACGATTTTTAAGACATTCACGCAAGCTTCTATACTTGGTAAAATGATCCTTCTTGGTAGAGTACTTATGTCTCCTCCAAGCATCATTAATGATAGCATATACATATTTCTTCCCTTTGTCTTGAATGTGGAATTTTTTCTGCAAAATATACAAACATTTATTCAGAGATCTAAATAGATAAATTTGAAGAAATAATGGATATTTTAGTACATTAACATAAGCCCATATAGGGCCTTTGTTCACAGCCTTCCAATTAGTATATATAAGAGGACATAAATCTGCACTTCTTGCTATTGTTCCCAAAAAACTGCTCAATTCAGATAGAGTCTTTTCATCAGGACCAATAGGCTGCCCTTCTGCATTTAGAATGATTTCCTTTCTATCTTCAAGGCCTCGTGCATGAACTTTTAGACATAGTGTCTTTCCTCGTTTTCTTACTGATGTTGCACCTAATTAATTAGAAACATTTTTTTAAAATGTGACATAGAAAACAAAGACAAGGTAAAGGAAACATTTAAAAGAAAACTAAATGATGGCATGATATTACCCGCAGGACCAATTTCTTCAATACCCTCATTGCTTTCATGGTTGATGTCCCCTTCAACTTCCACGTTCATGTCATTTTCTTCCTCATATTCAGATTCAGTTTCATCATTCTCATGTTGTTTCTTATTCTTATTGATGAACTCATCGAGTGACATCACAGGACATTTTGGATTGGGTTTTTTCTTCTTAGAGAAATGCTCTTCTGGCACTTCTTGGACTTCATGTGTCATTGTTGTTCTTAGTTGTCGCTTAGAATTAATGTTACGAAAGAATTCTTCGTTGTTATCCTGAAGCTTTTGAATTGGTTCAACTTGGCCCCTGATTGTAGATTTGACAGGTTTCTTTTCACAAGGAACTTGCATATACCCCAATTTTTTAGTCACAACTTTGGTGTTCAAGAATCGTTTGTTTTGATCATGCCTTTTCTTTTGTATTGGGATTGTTCCTGAGTGAGAGCCCCCCTGCTGGTTCTCCTTTTGCATTGACTTTTGAATGCTTCCACAATATGCACTCATTTCTTGCTCACTTAGATTTGAAACACCTCTAGTGTTGTTCATAATCTGCAAGTAAAAACAATTGCAGACAAGCAATGATAAATCATTCTGAAGATCACGAATCAGGGAATCTAAAATTATAATCTGCAAGTAAAAACAATTGCAGACAAGTAATGATAAATCATTCTGAATATCACGAATCAGTGAAACTAAAATTAGTTCAAATTTAATTATTCATTAATCCAACATTTGTGAAAACAAATTTTCATTACATGCTCGAATTCTATCTTCCTCACACATTTTCTTTAATATAATAGTGAATCTGCAGTGCACCAAGTAAAAAGCACATCTTCTTAACATGCTTGTAAAATATAAAGGGCGCAACAATAATTAACATTTAGAACAGTCACTTCTTCCTTGTAAATTTCTTCACCTGAGGTTTTACTCGGTTAAAGTTGAAATCCTTGTTTGTATTTTGTTCTAAAGCACTTCTCTTGCTTTGTCTTACAGCTGCAACATTTTCTCGTTGAGTTGGATTTGAAACACCTCTTTTACTTTTGGTAACCTACAAGAAGAAAGATATACCCAAAAGCTAATGAAATTGCAATATGAAAATCGAGAATTAGGAACACATAAATTACTTAGATTTCACCTGAGCATTTGCTTGATTAAACAATACATTTTTCTGCACTTCTTTACTAGCAGCATTTCCCTTTTTTCCTCTGGAAGCAGTAATATTTTCTACCTTAAGTTTATACTTTTGAAGTAGTTCAGCACTAGTCTCAACTTGAAAATCAAGACCAGATCCAGTCTCTTGGTTCATTTTCCTACAAATGTTAATGCTAGAAAAGTGCAATTTTAAAGCATTTTTACAAGGATATTCATCATTACATTTACATTACAGATAACCGTAACCAACACTACTTCATAAATAATAAAACAAAATTTACTTTATTAAATATAACAATACATATATGTGATAACAGAATATAGAGGCACACAAATCTATAAAATAAGACTTTTAAGAAACGAGTCCAACAGAGAGTACAATAATACTTAAAAAAAACTATTCCAAAAGAGGTTCATCTAAATCTCAGAGTCATTTTCAGATTCTGTTGCATTCAATAAATGCAAATAATTCTCAACAACTGTCGGTTCCATGTCTGTCCTTACCAACTCGAATTCAATGTTGTCATCACTTGTAGCTAGGTTTACTGGATGATCTGATGGCTCACTTTGATAAAACTGTTGAGAGTTTGAATCTGATGGTTCTTTGATATTAAGAAAATCCCTCGGGATAGTCTTCATGACGTAATTCCTATTTGCATTAAAAGGGTCTTGAATGTAGAAGCATTGATGCACTTGAGAAGCGAGCACAAACGAATCATCCAGAAAACATCTCTTGTTGAAGTGAACACAAATCAAACCATACTTATCCTCTTCAACTTCAAACCAATCACAACGAAATAACACAGCCTTAAAATGCCCATAATAATCTACTTCAATTATTTCAATAATTGTTCCGTAGCAGGTAAGTGAGTCTGTTATTGGATTTCTATCGTTAGTACTTGCAAAACTTTCAGCAATTGACACCAATGTCACACCACTATTTTGGGTTTTACGTCGTGCATCTCGTTGCTTTGTATGAAATCTATAACCATTAATGAGATAGCCAGAAAAACGACATGCAACTGTATTTGGTCCTCTAGATAACTCCTTCATTTGTTCAGATACATCGCTTAATAGAACACGCTTTTTGAACCATTCAACGAACTCTTTCCCTTGAGCCTTTGATTTGTTCCACTTTTTTCTTTTCTGTTTTGAGTATTCATTTTCATGCTCCCTGCAATCAAAATAAAAAGTTGGAATAACTAACAAATTAGTATTTATGTACTCAAAGCCTACAGAAAGAATTATTCACCTGATAAATTTCTGGACATCGTCGCAATTGAATAATATGTAGCGGTGAATTTGACTCCTTGACTTGCTATCCAAATAAATAGCTTTGCCATTTTTCTTTGTTCCAATAGGCTGACCAATGCTGGAAAAGATGGTTGGATTTTCAATCTCATTGGGCTCACATCTATCACCATTCCTTTTCATTCAATTAAGTCGTGTCTCCACGCTACCATGCAAATACTGGGAGCATAATGTCAAGCATTCTTCAACCAAGTATCCCTCGGCAATAGAACCTTCTGGACGACTTTTGTTGCGGACATAGCTTTTTAGTCTACCTAAATATCTTTCTGGGAAATACATCCACCGAAATGGAACTGGACCACCCAATTTTATCTCATTCACTAAATGTATGGGCAAATGAACCATCACATCAAAGAAACTTGGGGGAAAAATTGTTTCAAATTGACAAAGTGTTTCTGCAATCTCTGATTGCAGAATATCCAAATCATTCACATCAATAACTTTCTGACATAAACACCGAAAAAATGAAGATAAACGAATTAAAGGGTGGGCAACTTGATCTGGCATGGTACTCCTCACAGCTACTTGAAGCAAGTAATGCATCATAAAATGTGCATCATGCGTCCTGTAGCCAGTAACCTTCCTGTCATCAAGTTGAACACATCTTGAAATGTTAGAAGCACAACCATCGGGTACTTTCGCTTCCTTTAAGACTCCACAAAATGTTGTTTTCTCATCAGCAGACATAGAAAAACATGCAGGTGCAAGCTTGATACTTTTACCTTCATTTGTCTCTTCTGGTTGAAGCTTTTTTCTAATACCCATGTGTTTTAAATCAAAACGAGCATTTGCATGATCTTTTGTCTTTTTAGGGATATCTAACAAAGTCCCAATTATATTATCAAATACGTTTTTTTCTATATGCATCACGTCAAGATTATGATATAAGGTGTTATGCTTCCAGTATGATAACTCGTAAAAAATAGATCTCTTCCTCCATGGATCATTGGGATGATTCTTTTTCTTCTTTCTTTTCTTTTTTGTCTTACCAAATACATTTTTGAAGTTTTTTAAGGATTCAAAGATATCTTCTCCTTTCAACAAAGCTGGCGGAGGTCTAAATTCTGTCCTCCCATTAAAGTCCCTTACGTTTAATCTGTATTTATGATCCATAGGCAAAAATACACGATGATCCATGTAGCACATCTTTCGGCTATACTTCAGATAAGTGGAGTTTGTGTTATAATTACAACAAGGACAAGCTAATTTTCCTTTTGTACTCCACCCACTCAACATAGCATATCCGGGAAAGTCACTGATAGTCCACAGGAGAGCTGCCCTTAGTTGGAAAGTTTGATTTAGGGATGCATCATACGTATCTACTCCGAAATCCCACAACACCTTCAATTCTTCAATCAACGGCTGGAGGTACACATCAATATTATATCCAGGTGATTGTGGTCCGGGAATTAATAAAGAGAGAATGGCATGATCAACTTGCATACACCACCAAGGAGGAAAATTATATAGTAGTAATGCCACTGGCCATATACTATGAGATAGACTCATGGTTCGAAATGGATTAAATCCATCACTAGCTAAACCAAGTCGGATGTTACGTGAATCCATTGAAAACTCTGGATAGCGTTTATCAAAATCTCTCCACGCCTCCCCATCAGCAGGATGTCTCAATTTACCATCTTTCACACGTTCTTCTTCATGCCACCTTAATGAGCTAGCTGTCTTTGAACACATAAAAAGCCTCTGCAGTCTGGGAATCAATGGAAAGTGTCTCAAAATTTTAGCTGAAACTTTGTGAGCCTTAGTGTTTTCCTCATTATTGACTTCTGTATTTTCAATCCACCGTGGAGCACCACAGACATAGCAACAAGTGTCTCTCTCATGTTCTTTCCAGTAGAGCATGCAATCATTCGGACAAGCATCAATTTTTTTATAATCAAACCCTAAGTCTCTTATCATCCCTTTAGTTTTAGCTACTGTATCAGGAATATTCAAGTGAGGCATAGCTTCTTTCAACAACTCTAAAAGAGCGTTGAATGATACATTGCTCCAACTGTAAAGACACTTCAACAAGTACAGTCTGATAGTGAATGAGAGCTTAGTAAAGTTTTGGCATCCCGGAAACAACTCTTGCTTGGAATCTTCTATTAGGCTATAGAACTTTTCAGCATCACCATTGAGGCTGCCATTATCTTCATATTGTTCTTCTGCCACACCCCTGAATCTATCATTGAGTAGTCCATCAATATCATCTATTTCATCATCTTCACCATCCAAATAACCGTCAATGTTCTTGGGGTTTATTGGCTCCTCACCATGACGAACCCAAACATTATAACCTCTTTCAAATCCGTATGCTATTAAATGATCGAAAATTGTTGCTCTAGTCATCCATAAGGCATTATGACATTTAATACATGGACACAAAATCTCTTTTCCTTGAGGATTTCCTCTCGTATATGCATAATTTAGAAAATACTGCACACCGTTAATGTATTCTGGACTGTATCTTGCTAATTTCATCCATTCCTTGTCCATTTAGTGTACTAGAAAATCATCAATAGCAAGGATGAACACTAGAAAAATATTATACACATATACATACAACACTTTTATAAGCTTTTAGATTTTATTAAATTAAGCCCTTCCTCTTACAGTTTGTTAAAGCACTTTTTTTCCTTTTACAGTTTCTCAGGACATAGTAATAAGTAGGGTATCTAAACCTTGAATATGAACATATTAATAAAAACAAAAGGCAGAAGCATACTTATCATATCTAAACAAAGTTTGATTGTTTACCTTGTTTCAAGAACAATCATTCATATATAATGTTTTTCCATTATTATGAACTTAAAAATACCCAAAACGCCTGAGAAAAGGAGACCTAAATGATAAGGAAAATTCATTTATTATGTCCCCAAAATCTATATATTGTGTTTCCTATATGAAGTATACAAACGTATCATTTTTCTTACAAAGTTAAATAACTCAATGTTACAATCATGATGCATCTTTTTATAGTGGTGCTAAAGATGTTTTAAAGAGACTTAGTGAGGGTACTTTTGTTACTTATCTTAACGTGCATGTTCCTGACATGTTTTAAACTTGATGTATGTATAACATGAAGGTATATTACATTTATACAATATCATCTTTACTAAGTCCTTGATAAACATAAAGCCTAGAAACATGTTCATCATTTTCCATTAAAAATTTACTCATGAGAAGTGATAGAGGTTTGAAAAAAAATAAAGAATCAAAATTGTAAATGAAAAGAACATGATGTACATAAACCTACTTGCCCATATTTGGTTTTAAATCCCGATTCTTATAACAAATTAACAATTGTGCTTTGTTTTCACACATTTGGGGGATATGGAGCATGTCACCAAGTATTACAATACCTAATGTCATAACTTGGTTAATATAGTGCAGGTCTCCATTTTAAAGCTCTTTTAAGTAGGGTCAGATATCACAATCCAACCAATGAATGTTCATCCATGAATTTAAAATCATGGATTGACCTCATGATTTGAAGCACTAAAGAAATACTAAATGTAATACACGTGCAAAAGTAAATAAGAGGTAATTTAGTCTAACAAATGGACTATCGATGATTGTGTTCAATAGTGTACTTCAAGTACATACTAGAAGTACATGTGAATTAAAGTGTAACAGATGCAATTTAGGAGCAAACTGACATACACTATCTAGTACGTTTGAAGTACCTAGATCATCAATTGAAGTACACTTTAATAGAGGTAATATAGTCTAACAAATAGATGAATCTAGTACATGTGACGACTGAAGCACTAAGACCACAATTTGAAGTAATACACTGTATGTATATGTCGTAAACTGTAATGATATATCAAAAAATTTAAACAAAAGTTGAGTCAAACTACCTTAAATGGACCAGAACCAGCAAAATCGATCATAATACTCTGTAATTGGTAAGGGTTATGATTGCTACTGGGGGTGAGGAACCAGCCCATCCAAAACCGGCCATCAATTTGAACATTAGAAAATCACTATTCGATCCAAAATTTAGATGTAAAACTGGGATTGGTTATCCCTATTTGTACTATTCGATCCAAAATTTAGCAAATCTCACATTAAAATGAAACCATTCTTACGAGAGGTTCCAAAATACTTAGAAATTAAAATTGAACCTAATCTACACCAATTAATCAGTAGAAATTAACGAACTCCAATTTATTACTTTCATATTATAAGCAAAAGGTTGATTAGTAGGAATCAACGAACTCCAACTTGTAAAAAACTTACCTGGAAGACAACTTCAGAGCGAGTATGGGAGGCGTGCACTCGTGAAGGTGATATCGGCCGATCTGTGAGAAAATAGGGAGATGCAGATTAAGCAGCGTTCAGATAGTCTGATAAACCATTTGGATTTGAGGAGCGATCTGATTGAGCGATCCATTGTAAACCTAGAAGAAGTCTGGTGAGATTTGTGAGAAGAGAATCATTTTCCTTTTTTAATATTTTGAACTTGCTACTCGTTTGTTCTGGTATAGACAGGGCAGACGGTTAACAAAAAAATAAGAGCCAACTAAACAATTATTCGCGCGCCGAAATTTTAACACGGTTAAAGGGCAACAATTCTTAAGCGTGGAAAGCCCATTAAAAAAAAAGCGTTGCCCACTCCTCTTAGGGGACGGTTATTTTAGTGATGCATTTTAAAACTAGAAACATTTATCTACTTTGGCAGCCCTTTAAATGTTTTAGTGTTCCTATATAGGACTCCGTAATGGTTTTTAAAAATTGCTCCGAAATAACTCTATCCCTTGGGAAAAAAGTTAACTCTAGCAAATGTGAAATGTTGACCGTTGCATTTAAAAAAGAACAGAGGAAGTACGTAATAGAGAATTTGAGCCATCCAAATGATTCAAATGTAATTACGAAAAATACGTAAAGTTTTAAATTATTTTATCAATTAATTTTGAACCAAAAAAATTGTTGTATTAAGTACGGAGTATAATTTTCAATAAAATAGGATACTGCAAATCATTTATAAAAAAATTAATAGTTTGGGTCTCTCTCGAATCAACTTCACCTTTGATTTGGTGACCTCAACCAATTCAGTACCCTCGAGTTTGGCCATGCCAACCTCGTCCCAGCATAACGGTATACGGCACCTCCTCCCATACAATGCCTCGTATGGAGGCATACCGATGCTTGCCTGATAACTGTTGTTATAGGCAAATTCCACAAGTGTCAAGTTGTTGTCCCAACTTCCTTGGAACTCCAATGCACAAGCCCTCGGCATGTCTTCTAAGATCTGTATGACTCTTTCAGACTGCCCATCCGTCTGTGGGTGGAAAGCAGTACTGAACTTCAACCTCGTTCCCATAGACTCCTGAAATTTCGGCCAAAAACGTGATGTGAATCGTGGGTCTCTATCGGATACAATGGTCACTGGAACCCCATGTAGCCTCACGATCTCATCCGTGTACAATTTGGCTAACCTCTCAAGTGGTTAAGTAGTGTTGATAGGTAAGAAGTGTGCACTCTTCGTGAGCCTATCTACAACGACCCAAACTGCATCACAGTTCCTGATTGTCCGTTGTATTAAGTACGGAGTATAATTTTCAATAAAATAGGGTACTGCAAATCATTTATAAAAAAATTGTTGTATTAAGTACGGAGTATAATTTTCAATAAAATGAGCATAGGAGCTTACAATAAAATACGAGGTCCACAAACTGGCAGTAATTACTAATTAATGAGCATACGAGCTTACTGATCATTTCATTTCCTTATGAATAGATATCTTCTTAAATAGATTATTAAGAACTTGTACATGCATAATAATAATAATAACGGATATGATATTTGAAACTTAATTATTGTCTAAGTGAAGCCTTGAAGGCAACAGAATGTAGGACTGCAAATAAATAAGCGTCAATATTTGAAATGTCAAACTTCACACTAGTACACATATTGATCGATATGTGCAATCAAAATACTACCAAGTTGATGGAAAGACATGAAAAAAGGCTTTGTTGTTTATGGAATAGGAAAAGAATCAAATATTTCAAACATGCAATGAGACTTTCTAGTTTCCATCACTATCACTACAAAGAAACACGGAGTTAGTCACGGATTTAGTCACGGACCGTAGTATAAAAAATCCGTGACTAACTCTGCTAGTCACGGACAAAGTCCGTGACTAAATTTGTGACTGTTTGGGCGTGACTAATTCTAGTCACAGACATTTTATCCGTGACTAAGCGTAGTCACGGCTTAGTCACGGACCGTATCCGTGACTAACTTGTCACCGGAATAACCGCACCGGCGACTTAGTCACGGCCCTTTTCCGTGACTATATTTAGTCACGGACCAATCCGTGACTAAACTTTCAAATTTTAAAAATGAACCGCCAAATGTTACGGTTTAAATTTTCAAAATTTAAAATTTAGTCACGGATTGGTCCGTGACTACTTTTCAAAATTTAAATTTTCAAAATTTAAAATTTCCGTGACTACTTTTTTATTTTTAAAAAAAAAAAATTAAATTTGTAAAATAACTTTTAAAAAAATCGGTCTAGAATTTAGTCACGGCTCGGATCCGTGACTAAAGTTTTTTTATTTTAAAAAAAAAGTTTTTTGTTTTATAAAAAAAATAAATTTATTTTTAAATTTTCTTTAGAAAAGTTTATTTTAAAAAATATTTGTAGAATAAAAGTAATAAAAAAATATTTGTAGAATAAAAGTAATAAACAGACTACTAGAACACACATTTCATAACCAAACAGACTGAAATAAAAGTAATAATAATTAAGCACAATAGAATTATAGTAAATAAACAATGTTCAATTAAAAATGTATATCATTTACAAGCTCCTCCGGCTACCATTATGATAATATCTAGAATCATCATATAGATAATCTTCTTCGGTCTCATCTTCTCGGTTGTCTCCAGCTTGGCCTTCTCGATTGCCACCGCGACTGCCTCCTCCGCGACTGCCACCTCCGCGACTGCCTCCTGTTTGGCTGCCTCCAGATGTTTGAAACAGGTTGTGAAAATTGATATCCTGAATAGAACCAAATGAAGGCAACCCGGTAGCAGAGTTGGAACGCAAATAACCGCCCATGTGCGGAACTTGAGGAGTCTGCTCGGGGTGCAGTACATACGGCTGAGGCTGAGGCTGATTCCGAATTCCGGCGCTGAGGCTCCTCCTGAATAGAACCAAATGAAGGCAACCCGGTAGCAGAGTTGAAATTGATATCCGTTCCATCGCTTCCAGCCGGGCCCTTGTTTCTTCTTCTTTTTTGCGTTGCTCCTCCAAGCAACGCTGCTGCTCATCCAAGGCCCGCTGCTGCTCCTCCATCTCCCGCTGCAATTGAGCGATACGCGGATCCTCTCCGCGCCTTGATCGGGAAGATGAAGCGCCGCTGCGGTCGTACAAGATCCGTTGCCCCTCAGCCCCCATGCACGGGACCCGTCCCTTGTACACCCCAACTGCCTCAAAGATGGCATCATCCTCCACATCAGAATCAATCTCATCCTCCTGAGTCAAGCCTAATTCTGCCCGCCTCTTCTCAACATTTGTGTTATACTTCGACTACATGTACAAAAATTGTTAATTTAATGTTACTCAATTTGATTTTGAATGGAAATAAGTAACAAAATAATGTTACTTACTTCAATTTCAGCGAGGCGGGGTGGCAGATCGGCATCGGACTCATCGCCGTGCTTTGTCCAGCAGTGCTTGATGACCTTGAGAATTAAGACCTTCTTCTTCTCAGGCCCCGACTACAGTTTGGAAAAAAGGCTTAAGATCCATAATTAAATGTTAAAATGGTCGGGACACATAACCCGCTGTTCGTTGTTGGTCGGCCCTCTCCGTAATCGGCTGTGTGATATGTGTAACCGTTTATCACATATTGCCGCCACACTTTGGCACTGGCACTAGGGCCCCACGCTAATGATACTAACAAAGGGTCGACAATCCCACGACTATTGATCTGTAAATATAAACATGATAATAACATTAGGTAAATATTGAAAAATCTTACTTAATAATATATATATAATTAATGTGTGTGTATATATATACCTGATACTTGTACCAATTTACAAAATCAGAGTCTACCAATGCATCAATTTGATTCTCAGGAAAGGCTGATAAAGAAGCTCTGAATTCACTGTGAATTCAAAAATAAAAAAATTATAAATTAACTACAAATTTAATTTATAAGTATTACAATTATAACTACAAATTTAACTTACTGATAAAACGGTGAGATTTCTGGACAATTCATGAGGATATAAGAATGTGCAATTTGCAATTCCCCACCGAGTATGTATCGTTGTGTCACAGCACCTTTACCTCTGCCTGAGTAATTGAAGATGGAAACTACATTTTCATATAAATCCTTGCCAATGTCATCGTTCCGGGCAGGTCTCTTCCTTCTGGTTATGACGTCACGCTCGAAATAAAAAGACGAGAACGTTGAGATTTCTTGTTGAAGATACGCTTGAGAAATTGAAGCCTCAACGTGTGCCTTGTTGGTCACTTTCTTTTTCAACTCTCCTAAAAATCTGCAATAATGCAATAAAACAGCGTTACACATGTTAACAGTTATTATGAAACAAATATTCAATTTTTAAATGAAATTGTGACTAACCTTTCAAATCTGTACATCCAGCGATAGAAGACGGGCCCAGTAGTCAAAGCCTCATACGGAAGATGTATTATAAGATGTTCCATTGTATCGAAAAACGATGGAGGCATTATCTTTTCCAGATTACACATCAGAATGGGAACAGACTCTTGTAGTCTCCGGAGGGATGCCGCATCCAAAACGCTAGAACATATCGATTGAAACACCAAACTGATTTCAGTAATGCAGGACCATACGTGTTCAGGGAGCATCTCTTTCAGTGCAATTGGTAGAAGTCTTTGCATTATTACATGAGCATCGCGAGTTTTCATGCTCGCCGTCGTGGTAAGTTTGTTCATGTCCACGCATCTAGACAAGTTGGAGCAGTAGCCATCTGGAAACTTCAGAGACGCCAGTCATTTAAATATTGATGCCTTTTGTGGTTCTGTGACCTGGTAGACTGCTTTTGGAACTTCTTTGCCCTGATATTCTAGATCAACAGAAAGTTCGGGTCTATCACACCAAATAGTCATATCTTTCCTAGCTGCAAGACCGTCTTTAGTTTTGCCTTTCAAATCCATCACCGTGTTAAATATATTGTCAAAGACGTTCTTCTCAGTGTGCATGACATCTAAATTGTGACGGATGAGAAGATCTTTCCAATAAGGCAACTCCCAGAATATGCTCCTCTTTGTCCACTTATGGGTATCACAATACCCATATGGCTCTTGGTTTGGCTCTTCCATAGCCGTAGGAAAACGTCGAACCCGGTTATAAATTTCTTCACCGGTCAATCTCGGGGGTGGGCTCTCTCGTACCATTCTGCCTCTAATGAAAGACTTCTTGTCCTTTCGATATCGGTGCCTTTCCGGGAGAAACTTGCGGTGACAATCAAAGTAACTTCCTTTTTTGCTGTAACTGAGCGAGTTGGCACCTGATTTCTCCATGCATATCGGACATCCCATCAGACCGTGTGTGCTCCATCCCGAAAGCATGCCATAGGCAGGGAAGTCGCTAATGGTCCAAATGATGGCAGCTTTCATGATAAACATTTTATCTGATGAAACATCATAAGTTGGTGTCCCAACGGCCCACAGTTCTTTCATCTCCTCGATAAGGGGTTGGAGATAAATGTCTATCTTTCGCCCAGGATCCTTGGAACCCGGACAAATTAAAGACAAAAAGATGAAATGACTTTTCATGCACATGTCAGGAGGGAGATTGTAAGGAGTTAACATGACCGGCCAACATGAATAGTTCTTGCCAAACCTGCCAAAAGGAGCAAATCCATCCGAGCACAATCCCAGCCGCACATTTCGTGGCTCCATAGCAAACTGACGATGACATCGGTCAAAGTGTCTCCAGGCTTCACAGTCCGAAGGGTGAGCCATCATCCCCTCATTGGTTTCGTGCTCAACATGCCATGTCATGTGTTTCGCAGTAGCAGTCGAAGCGTACATCCTCTGCAGTCGAGGAGCTATTGGGAGGTAATACAATTTAGACAGTGCCGACCTATGTCGTGGTTTCTTTTTACCTTGACGAATAGGTTTGTATCTGTCTCCACCACAGAACTTGCAGAACTCAAGTGCCTCATCCTCCTTCGAGAACAACATACATCCTTCCGGGCACACATCAATTTCAACACAAGGTAGCCCCAACTTAGACATTAACTGCTTCATGTGGTAATATGAATCGGGAAGCGTATGATCTTGCGGTAGCATCCCTCCTACTGACTGCAAGACTCTATTCATGCAAGTTTCAGGGAGACTGTATTCGGCTTTTATGTTCATGAACTCAGTAACGGCGGATAGCTGAGAGTATCCCTCACAATCAGCATACAGAGGTTGGTCGGCAGCTTTTAGAACATCCTGAAATCTCTCAGCCAAACCTTCATCCACATAAGGTTGATAAAATGTCGGATTTTCATCCGCATCTGGTTGATACGAGGTTGAGGCTTCAGGGGGGTCGTTAGGTGGTTGTGGGGGGTTGAACTGAGACATCGGTACACCGTATGCGTCATATACCATTTGTTGGTCCCACCTCATTTCAGCACGGTCTCCCCACGCACTCATCTCTGGAGGGACGTAACGAGACGAACCTACCATTTGTGGTATAACAGATGGATCCAAAGGTTCGCCGTGAGAAGTCCAATTATAATAATTGGGAACAAAACCGACCGCGTACAAATCAGACCCAACTTCGTGTGGGTCTTTAAATTTGAGATTTTTACACTTTGAACATGGACATCTTATTTTATCACCACTCATATAAGCCGGATGTTCAAGTGCAAATTCAATAAATTCCCCGACTCCCTCGAGAAAATTTGATTGCATTCCGTACAATACCGCATCTTTATCATACATCCAACTTCTATTTTGTTTATACACTATGCCTGAATATTATAATAAAAAAGTATACACGTTCAAAACGAAGGTTATTAATGTAACAATAATACTAAGTAATTTTAAGTAATTTATTTCACTAAATAATCAACTAACTAATTTTCACTAAATTAAATGAAATGCACACAATTCATAACAATAATGCACAAAATATAAGTAATTACCTAATACTTAAATTTAACTAATATTACAAAAAATTTAAGTAATTTAACACTACATTTAAATTAAACATACGTTTAACTAAATTTAACTAATTCATTTAGTTAAATTTAACTAAATTTAACTAGTTCATTCCGTCCCCTTTTAATGCATCACTACGTTTAAACCTACGTTTAGCTAACTAATTTAACATAATTAACACATCACTAGCTACGTTTAAACCTACGTTTAGCTAACGAATTTTAATTAAATTATTTTTGTAAACCTACATTTAAACCTACACTAAATTATTACGTTAATGACATTTAATCTTATTAGTACTACACAATTAACAATTCACTAAATTAAATAATATGACCAAATTAATCCAATAATTTGAACATGTATATAAAGTCATTTGAATTAATAAATAATACACAATTACAATAACAATTCACAATACACTTAATTAACACATTACTAACGTACGTTTAACTAACTAATTTCACTTAATATAAACATCATTACGATTAAAACTACGTTTACCTAACTAATTGTAATTAAATTATTTTATAAACCTAACAGTTTAACTAATTTTATGACATTACTACGCTTACAGTTGAATATGTTGTTTATTAATTAACAACCTCACTAATTTAATAGTTTTAATAATTTAAATTGAACCAACTAATTCTAAATAAAAATAATAATTCAAATAACATACCTTAACTGCATAAACGGGGAAAATGATAGAAGATAGACTACATCCTTCGATCTTTCAAACAAGTACTGTATATACTGGGAATGAATTGGTGTGGTTCTGTTGAATGAGCTGCTCCTGCATATATAAAAAATTTAGTCACGGACTTAGTCACGGATTTGTCCGTCACTAACCAAAACCGTGTCCATTACGCGTCCAACCCGTGTTATGACGTGTAAATGACGTGTTAATCAAAGTTGTCACGGAAATAGTCACGGCCATGGCCGTGACTAAATATGTCCGTACATAATACCGTTGCGATTTAATTTATGGGAGATGAAAAATTAAATTTTAATCGTAGTCACGGTATTAGTCACGGATATGGCCGTGACTAAGTCGCCGGAGTAAAACAAGCCAGGCCGGACAATCAAACGGGCCAATCGGAGGATGTTAGTCACGGACCACGACCGTGACTAAGTGTAGTCACGGCCATAGTCACGGTCAAAACCGTGACTAATTTTTTTTTAAATTTCCGTGACTAGTCCGTGACTAGACAAGTCACAGACCAAATCCGTGACTACCGTCCGTGACTAAACGCGTGTTTTTTTGTAGTGTATATTTATTGTTGTGTACTTGTGTGACTTGCAAATTTATACTTCATGGTATGGGAAAATACTCGGTCGTTTCTTACACACATTATCCCACAAACCCCTTTTTGGGTTCATGTATTAAGAAAATTGGTTGAAATTTGGCTTAAAAAACTACGGAGTACGTATCAATTTTTAAAGAAAAAAAAAAAAGCTTTTATAGGAATAATGGAATTGTTTGTTTGTTTAGATCATCTGTTGGTGGGGGAAGATTTCCATTTAACATACCCTGTCCCCACAAGGCATATGTTAACAAAAAAGAGGTAGTATGGCCAGAACCAAAGCAACATAAAGTAGAAGTGAAACAAAGCAACATAGCTACAAAAAAATAAAGCAACATAATAGTCCATTCTTTTTTTTGGAAGAAATAGGCTTAAATTGATAACACATAATTCAGATTATGGGTAATCCGATCGACAAAAAGATTCCTGACAACCGCCGTCCCGCGAACCAGACTCAGAATTAATCACCTCCAACGAAGCAATATAATTCGCTGATCCATTAATTGGAACAAGAGCCAAAGACGGTTATCACAATCCTCTTTCTCATCACCCACATCCAAATTCACGTGGGTATTGTCAATTTTGCCGCCTAAATACTTCTGAGCAAGGGAATTAGACTATATCATAAACACAATTTCATTCACAGACAACAATTAACACCTAATGAAGATTTCACCACCACACACACACCTTATGAACATCAATAAAGGAAGCATGTGTACCATATCATAGATAAATGTTGATTCACAGACAATACTTCACATATTCACAGTCTTAAAACCAGCCCACAGACACATGTTGGAAGATATATTGCTAAAAACCCAAGAAATAAAAAAGTACCCTAAAAACAAAGGTTGGGAAATGATACATACCGCTCCGCCATCTCTGACCCTAGGGTTCGCACCATTGGTGTGCGTGGTCGTCCTAAACCAGTGCGCAAACAAGGGGGCTCGTCACTTCAAACTTGGAATCGCCCAGACTTAGAGAAGGGATTTGAATCGTTACAGATGGAGAACGGTTACACCGGAAGAGGACAGTGGTCGTGGGGATGTCGTTTTACACCTCAAACACAGAGTGACATGGTCATGGGGATGTGGGAGAGAAGTATGGGGGAAAGGAGTTTCGACTCTCAAGGACGACGTTTTTTTTTTTATTTTCGAGGAAGGGGGAGGGAGTGAGATACGCGGGTCGGTGGGGGAGTGAGGTGAGGGGAAAAGAGGGGGGTAATGTTTTTTGGGTTTAAGTAGTGTGTATAGGGTGAGTACTAATATGGGTACAAAGAGCATTTTTGTATCTTTCCTCTATCCATATATAATATATTACAGCCAAACCTTTTATTCTTTATCTCTCCACTCTCCGTCCTACTTGCTGAAGAGAAATCCCTTCTGCCAAAAATAATCATCCGTCACCCTACATCATTGCTCCGCAAAAAAAAGCAACGCTGGTGCGGGATATTGCGTGCAACGTGCCTTCTCCTACAACTAGTTATCCACCCTTATAACCTTATTGCATCTTGTTTATACTACGTTCCTTCTTAAATAAATTTAACATGTTGAATTTTACATTATCAATATGTTTTACTTTGACTACGTTATACATACGCAGTATTTATTAATTTATTTTGAAAAAGTTTTGTTAAATTTGTCTCATTGTAAATTTTGAAATTCTAATTTTTTAATTTTCTTACTAATAGAGAATTATATATATTAATGGTAAAAGTTGTGTCTTGGGAAATGTGAAATGTTGACCGTTGTATTTATTTAAAATCGGAGGGAATAATTTTAAGTTACAATTAAAGTTATTAGCCAAAATATTATCATACATAGTACAAATTAATTTTTTTAATCTGTGAAAAACATTGAGCAGATACTATATATGTTAGAAAGAATTATGCAAAAAAAGATAATTACTCTATATTACTTATGTCAATACAATTCAAGTTTTTAAATCTCAAAAAGGTTTAAGTAGTTGTATTAATCACATTAACTAAAATTAATTGATGTACGTAATTGTCATTTAAAATCAGTTATCAGCTGATTGCAAATAATCATTTAACCAAATACCTCATTGTATAATTTAGGTGTGAGCATATTTGTTTGGTAGTATTTTTTCAAACAGTATTAAATCTAACCGAACCAAAACGATAAAAACCAAACAAAATCGAACTAAAGAAATTCAATAAAACCTTCATGTATATATTATTAATAATTAATAAATAACAAATCCAAACCAAAGCAAAACAAACTAAACCGAACTCAACCAAACCGAAAAGTAGTACTCCCTCTGTCCCTTTTTTTTTAGCCAAACACTATTTTCCAAGTCAATGATATATTAAGTTTGACCGATTATCTATTTATACACAACAATATTGGTAATATAAAAATTATATGAAAATGTTCTTTCTTCAAAGTACTATCATAAAAATATAAATGTATTAAGTTTCACATTAATATATTAGTTAAAATAATTAATCAAAGTTTATCATCTTTGACTGAAAAAATCAAAGATGGCTAATTAAAAAGGGACGGAGGTTGTATGATTTTTTGTGTGCTAATTTTCCCAACCCATTTCAAATCAAACCGAACCAAAATTGATAAAAACCGAACCAAAAATCGATATGTTCATCCCTAATGTAATTTGATCAATTTCACACACTACAAAAAAACATCGAAATAGGCACGGACTTGGCACGGATTAGGCGACTTTGGCACGGACCGTAACTTATTTTTGGCACAGCGTCGTGCCAAATAGCTGGTGACAAAACGACATTGGCACGGAATTTGGCACGGATTTGACGCTTCCGTGCCAAATCCGTGCCAAATACCCTATGAATTTTGGCAAATCCGTGCCAAAGCTCCGTGCCTAATCCGTGCCAAAATCGTTGTTTTTTTGTAGTGACACAATTTAACACATTTAAACACGGGTAAAAAAACAAAAACACATTTTAACATGTTCAGCCTTTCTTTTTTTTTTTTTGCATTAGCAAACGAGCCAATTGCCATGAAGCATTTAATTTAAGCATCCCAATATAATAAAGATAGACACAATATATATTCCCAAAGTCCCCATAATTAAGGCCTAAAAGCGCAGCCTACGCGCATGCTGAAGTTAATTTCTACAGTTCTATTGCGTACTGCCTAGCAAATTCGCGCTTTATTCGCAATCGCATCTTCTTCTGATCCGATGTCTGCCTATCGTCGAAGGAAATCTGCGGTTAGGGAGCTGCCGGAAGAGGTCAAGGAAAGGATTCTCGAGCGCTTGCGCACCCGAGACGCCGCCAGATGTGCTCTACTCTCAACTAAGTGGCGGGATGCTTGGTCCCGCCACGGCCGCCTCGTCTTTGACCGGGACTTCTTCTGCTCCCTCAAAACCCCGAGCAGACCCGCTAACAAAGGCGGGTTTGTGGTGAACCTAATAAACAACATTCTCATGCTCCGAGCTGGACCTGTAAAGAAATTTACGTTGGACGCTTCCTGCTTATATCCTAAGCCGCCGCTGCAGTCGGATGTAGATCGGTGGTGTCTTTTTCTGTCAAGAAACGGCGTTGAGGAACTTCACCTCTCCATGCCTCATGTCCAACCCAAATATAAGCTTCCGCCTTCTCTGGTCTCATGCAAAACCATTAAGCTTCTGGCGCTTAAGGATTTCGTTGTCCATTTGCCGGCGACTGCTCAGTGCATATTTCCCGGTATCACGGCGTTAGATTTAGACGACGTTGAGTTCCGCGGTAACTTTAACGGACTGGACAGTAACAATCTTCCGAAGCTTGAGAAGCTGGCCTTCCTCAATGACTGTGTTGGTGTGGGTAATTTTATGGTCAGAGCTCCACGACTTAAGAGTTTGACGGCGTTTGGCTCTCTCAGCGGGGTTACACTCGGATTACTCAGGCTGCATTTGACTTCTATCAATACCCTCTGCTTGTCTGCTGATTCGTTTTCTGTAAGAAAATAAACACTTTAATTTCTTTATTTTCACTATATATAATGCATACTTCGTATATCACACACGTACACGTTCACATATTAATTATTTCCAGGATTTTCATGTTAGTTACGGAGTATTTCTTTTTCTTTAAATTTTATGTTAATTTAAAAAAAATTATAAAAGTAGTTCTCTTTGTTTGTGGACACAAAATAATGGAGTTCATTTAATTAATTAGGAAGTCAATTTTTAATTATACTCTAATTTGGAGTTCACAATTGTGAGGAGATTTTAATGTATTTTTTGAATATGTAAATTTTAATTACTAAATATCCAATTAATTATAAAAAAAAAACTAACTTTGGGTTGACTTTGGGTGTCCAATACTTATACTTTTACTGTTATTGGTTTAGGATGTTGTTGCGGTGGCAATTTAAGTAATTCAATTAATTGTAATTATTATATGTCCGTATTTTTAGGAATAGTATTTAGGGAAAAGGGGCAAAAATGACCCTAATGTTTTGTTCTAGGAGGAGATATGCCCCTAAACTTTTTTTGGGTTGAAATAGCTTAGGATATACGTTTTTTTGACAATTTAGGCACCTCCCCTCATGGTGCCGTTAGTTTTAACCTGGTCCTAAGTAAATAAGCCTATACCAAAACTAAAAGTGAGTGTATTCTCTTCATCTTACACAAAGAGGAGCCAAAATGACATACCATGGTTTAAAGATTTTTAGCTCTTCACCGAATAAAAAAGGTCAACGTGCAGTAATGTCTTTATTTTATTTTGTATTTGCTTCTTACATCTGAATGGATTTGTTATAGGATTTGAATTGATGTGTGGTTGGAATGAATCTCAATTCATTTGGGGGAAATTGCATGTTTAGCATCTCAAATAGTACACACATTGAAATGTAGTACATGTATTTTTTAACTATTTTTACTTACTCTTCCGTATTTTAAAGTTTGCTACACTTTCCTTTTTTGGATGTATTTAAAAGTTTGCTACACTTCCCTTTTTTGGTAAGTTTTTGGATGTATTTAAAATGTAATAAAATACATTTTAAAAATAATTATTTCTTAAAACAGCAAAATCAGTCAACGCAGCCACTTCAGCCAGAACTTCATAAATTTCAGCAAAATCAGCCAAATCAGCCGATTTCCGTGCTACTAAATGGGCTCTCTAAGTGTCAGCACTAGAAAATAATAATTTGAGGCTAGAGTGCTAAAAATAGCCTAATTTCCATACACATTTTCAAAACACAATGTGTGGCACTCAAGTTTCATAAATTTAAAAATGTGATTGTTGGTATTTTTCATATAAAATATTCAGACGAAATTTGTGTGTAGAATGACTAAGATATGTAATTTTAAATTTCACTAGTCATGGGTTTATAATAGAATTTCAGAATATCCGTACGGTCAAGTTGTGATATTATGACAAATTTTAATGTTGATTTTCTTTGTTACGAGAGTATAAACATGAACTATATATGAGACTACTTTAAAACTTGAAAATATAATTAATATTTTTGTAGTATTTTATGACTTCTAGCGTGCATTTATATTTGTTACCTTTTTATCGGATTTTAAGGGACAATCTTTTATTTATTTATAAATTTTATTCAGACCTTATTATATATTTCAATCATTTTTTCCATGTTAACTTGTTGTTTTTGTAAGTCCTAGTTTAATTTTAAAGTAAATAAATCAGGAATCAGTTTTTAATTCGGGCGTTGAAGTTACTCAATTTTTTTATTTCAAAAGTTATTATAGAAAGTAGAGAAAAGTGTCAAATAAGTCCACCTACTATTATGAAAAAGTCAATTGAGTCCACGCACTATTTATTCAATCAATTAAGTCCACCAAGTATCAAAAAATGACCAAATTTGATTTTCCTCCGGTAGTTGACCGGTTTCCCCTGTTAAATGGCCTATGTGGATCATCCACGTGGCTTTTTCCCTTAAGCGCTTATTTGGCTGTCCATGTGGCTTTAAAATATCTTTTTCCTTTTTTATTAAATGTTTTCTTCTTCATTCTACCCATCCCTGCAACTCTTCTCCCCCTTTTCTTCTTTCCGTTTTTTTATTTCTTCTCTTTTCTTTCTTTATTCTCCTCTCTTTTTCCTTCTTCCCTCTCTAGCAGGGGCGGACCTATATGGGTTCAAAAGAGTTCATGTGAACACCCAAAGATTTTTGTTTTTGTAAAAGAATACATAGATAAATTTTCTGGAATTTTTTTTTATAAATAAATTTGAACACCTAAAATTTGAAAAATAAATTTGAACACCTAAAACTAACTTGGTAGATCCGCCACTGCTCTCTAGCTTTCCATCTTCCACCACTGTCGACCTCTGCCGCCACCATCTCTGTCGATCTCTTCCGTCGCCGTCGAATTCTGCCGCCGCCTTCGACCTCTGCCGCCGCTGTCGCCTTCTGTTTCACTGCCTGGTTTCCATTGAAGAAGAGGAAGGGTCGCCATCGGATTGCCACAGTCGCATTCTCTGGACATGAAAATGGGAGTATAGAAGGTTGGGTAAGCTAGAGGAAAAAGTGGAGCAGAAGAGAAAGAAGATGGGGAAAAAGAAAGAAAAGGGAAACAAAAAGGGGGTGAACTGTGCAAGAATGAAGGGAGGGGGGTTGCGTGAGGCCGTGGGGACGTGGGGTAGAAGCAGTGGGAGAGAAGAAGAAAGAAGAGGAGAGGAGTTCCAGGGAGAAGAAGCAAAAAGGAGAAAAAGAAAAAAAAGAAAAAAAAAAAAGATGAAGAAGAGGGGGGAATTGCAGGGGCGGATGAAGAAGGGGGTACGAACTACGAACCAGATTACCAGAGGAAAGAAAGGAAGAAGAAGTAACTAAGAAAGGAGAAAAAGAAGGGCTACCGGTTCTTTACCGGTTAAATGGCAAAAATGACTAAAATTTTAAACTTTGTGTACTTAATTGATTGAATAAATAGTATATGGATTCAATTGACTTTTTCAGAATAGTAAGTGGGCTTATTTGACACTTTTCTCTAGAAAGTAAGAAATTGGTATATTCCAAGTTTTATGTTATGTGTTACGTAGTAGTATCCAACCGTTAGTAGAAAGGTGCCTAAATCTTCAACAAACTTAATTTGTATACCTATTTCATCTCAAAAAAAGTTTAGGGTCATATCTCCCCCTAGAACAAAACATTAGGGTCATTTTTGCCCCTTTTCCCTAGTATTTATTATGCATGTCTAGCCGATCATGCATATCATTTGCCAGAAAATAGGAGAAAGACTCTCCAGATTAATTGAGATTAAGTAGAGGGCGTACATGGTAAGAAATCAGGAAAAGAAATTAATAAACCACCGTGCATGGTATTAAATTAAAGCATCAGAATACGAAGAAAAAAAACATGATTTAGTCATGGGAAATGAATGATGCTTTAGTCCCGCAAGGGAAAATTTGCTCATTTAATTTTAATTTGCTAGTGTAGCGAGACGAAATGCTTCGTTAATATTGGATTATGCGGCTATTTTTATTCAAAAAAGTTCCTTTGATACACATACATGATCATATGTAAATCTATAATATTCTAATTTTAGACAATGAAAAAATAACTTCGGTTTTATAGTTGAAATGATCTAGAAAAAAATATTAATAGATTAAAGCGTAAGAAATGGTAAATCAAAGGAAGATTATTAGAAAATAAAAAAGAATACATAACATATTAATTATCAAATTATTTGAAGAGAAATTTAAAAGATACACATCTATTAATACTTTTTAAATAACTTATGTCTTGTTTAACCAAAAAGAATTTTATCGCAATAAAGATTTGATTTTTGAATTGAAATAACATATGTATGGGAATACTATTTTTAGAATAATACTATGATATTAATCCATATATATGGTGCATATATATTATATTTGTATCAATGCTAAAAAATGTTAAAGTTTACTATATAAGCAACGAATTATTTTTATGAAGTAAGAAGTAAATGGATCGTGTAATTTAATGTCAACAAACATTTCTGTTTTAGATTCACTTCACATGATCTAAAATTGTTTAAGTAGTGTGTTTGGTACGTCTTTAATTTTATTTGATATTTTCCAAAACCGAGTACTAATTTTCTAATAACAAAGATATTTTTTTTTGAAAGAATCTAACAAAGATAATTTAACATTACAAAAGTAGGAAATTTTATATAATAAGTATCCTAAGTTTTTTACAGTGAGTTGTTTCTATTGCTTATTTGTTTAAGTTATGTAAATTATTTTAGATGTTTCTTCTCTTAAATCTACAATTAAGTATTACATTATGTAAGACTATATATTAATTCTAAAACATAGAAGTCAAGGGGGGCAAACACATATATATCTAACTAAAGTATGAAAATTTTGTGACAATACTACATACTCCATGTATAATAGAAATTTTGTGGAAGTCCAAAAGGGGTGGTTGCCCCCCACGCCCCCCTTAAATCCAACCCTATACACGTGCACATATTAATTATTTTGAGGATTATCATGTTAATTACTACATTTGTCCCTCTTATATTGTGACTGAAGAGGATGACACAATTATTAAGAAATGTGGCACTACAAAAAAAACACGGGATTTGGCAGGGATTTTGGCAGGGATATGCCAAATCCGTACCAAAAACACTTTGGCACGAGCTATTTGGCACGAAAAATTAAAAAATCGGTGCCAAAATCCGTGCCAATCCCATAATTTGTTGTAGTGTGAGTTTGTGTTGTTGATATCAATTGATAAAATAAGAATAAAGTAATAATGATTTAGAGCCACACAAATTTTACCAAATATGATACTCTCTCCGTATCACATATATCTTCCCACTTTCAAAGTGGGTGAGATTAAGAATAGTGAAAGGGAGTATAAATTATTGAGGGTATGATAAGAAAATAGTGAAATAATGTGATGAAATGAAGGATAAATACAAAAAAAAAGTATGTGTAATAATGTATTATTTTTAAAATTATTGAGGGTATAATAGGAAAATTTAGAAATGAGATGATATAAATGTTACGTCCAAAAAAGGAAAGTAAGAAGATATGAATGAATGTTACGGAAGGAGTATATAATAATTTTAGTGGGATTTCCCAAAAAGGTAAAATGGGACAATATAAGGGGGATTATTTCTTTATCTTTATTTTTATGTTAATTTTATCATACAAGTAATTTTCTTTGTTTGTGAACACAAAATAAAATGGAATTTTTACCCAAAAAATGGAATAATATCTATTTAAATGTACTACCATCATCCCAAATTGATTTGCAAAATTGACTTTTCTTGATTGGCAAACAATTTCATTTTATTCATTTAATTAAGATATCAATTTTTAATTATATTCTAATTTGAAGTTTTAAACTTTTAAGAGACTTTAATTTGTTTTATGTAAATTTTAATTACTAAAAATCGATTTAATTACAATACGAAGAATTTAATTTTAACAAAAGAATGTTGACTTTGGAAAATCAATTTAATTACATTTTCATTTTCTGGTTAAAATTATTATTAAAAAAAATTATGAGCCCGTTTGGTAGCACGCAAATTGACTAATTTGGCGGATTCTGCTGAAATTTATGAAGTTCTGGCTAAATTGATTGCATTGGCTGATTCTGCTGTTTTAAGAAAAATTTAATTTCAAAAAATATTTTATTAATAAAATAAAGAAAATAATTATATGTAAAAATAGTTAAAATGGTCATCTACAGTAACTTCAGCCAATACAGCCAGAAAAGTAACTTTAACCTTACTTTTTCTGCTTACTATTACATAATTAAGCGCACGAAAGAAAAAGTAACACGTTTAGTGAAAAAATTAGTTGATAAGTCACATAAGTCGAAAAATAGTGTTATCAAACGGCTTCTATATTAAATAAGTGATCATATACCAAAAAGTATTTTAATTTGGTTGTCCAATACTTTTGTGGTTACTGCTTCAGGATGTTGTTGCGGTGGCCTCTGAAATCCTCCCGATCGCGACGAATCTCCGAGAAATGAAGTTTCACCACTTCAGTTTTGGTTGCCAGAACCATCTTACCTTTCTAATCACCTTGCTTAAGAAGTCCCCGGAGCTACGCGTGTTGGAGATTAATGTGGAAGAAAGGAGCGTGAGTAAACACAACACATCCTCCATTGCTCATAATATGAGTTACTACTTCCCCTCTCCTCTATTTTCGCTGTCTTGCTTTGTTTAATTTTTGGGTTGTGCTAGAATAAATAATTATGTTTCCCTTTTTAACAAAAAAAATATGTGTTTTATATATCATTTCATTTTACTCTATTCAAATCTCAATCACAACTTTTATTTTTTCAACCAATTTATTAATTATTGTGTCTAACTAAAATTAAACAAGACAATCATTCTGGAACATTGTAGTATAAAACGAGGAAAAGTTTAAATCAAAGGTAAGTAAAACAAGGAAAAGTTTAAAAGTACAATTTAATACTATTTCCGTCCCAAAAGACTGTCAATTTTCAAAACTTTGACCAACTATACTTTTTATTGATGTTTTTTTTTGAAATGTTATATGAATATGTTCTTTGTTAAAAGCACTTTCATTAAAGTAAAATTTATAACTTCCAAAAATTATTATACTAATCAAAATCATGATTCAAAATTTTTGAAATGACAAACTTTTTACGGACAGAGCCACGGAGGTAGCATAATTTATTACTTCGTTCTTTAATAACTGTCTTTTATTCTATTTTGATGATATGTTTTTTTAATACTTGTCATTCTTTCTATCTATATTAGGAAAGCATTTGAGATAAATACCCTCACATTCATTACTTTTATCTCTTTTACTTTTACATGCTATTTTCTTTTTCCTATTTTGTCATTTACCCTACACGCTAATAGTTAATATAATTAGGATTCCTTGTGTATTTTGGAAACTCCTATTTTATTATGAAAATATCTGTCTGGTCTCCTATTCGAGCACTCTTTTTCATCATTCCACATTTTATCAAGAGCCCAGACACAATTTTTTCTCTCTCTTTCCCTCTCAAAACTTCTGCCGCCTCCATGAGTTCTACATCCGAGAACTCCTCCGCTTGTCTATAATACTCTTATTATTTTTCTCTTAAAACCCATACCCGGGCCTAAGAGCACCTCCAATGCAAGGGTGTGGTCTCTTACACACCCTTACACATGGGTCCCATTTTTTATCTCACAAATTTTAAGTGTAGGACCCACATATTTCCCAATTTATTTTCATTTTCATTTTTTTTATTTCACTTTTAACCCACTTTTCATCAACTTTTCCTCCTCGAATCCGTGTAAGGTCCATATATGGACCTTGTCATAGACCTTGGTCCATTTTTACATCTATCTCTCTCCTCTTTTTCATTTTTCCCTACACACCACTTCATCCAAATATTTATTCTATCTCTATCTCTCTCCTATGCCACATCAGATGCAATGCACCCTCCCATTGGAGATGCTCTAAAGGGATAGTTAACGGAGGGAGTATCAAAATAGGAGTTTTGTAGTCTCAAACTCTCAGCCCACCGATTAAACAAAAAAAAACTTTATCTTTTAAAAGAAAACATTGATAGATTGTCCATGCTACTACAGCTGGGGATGACTTACGACAACACGACTCTAATTTTTTGAGAACTTTTGTTTATTTATGTACTTATTAATTAATTAGTTCTATTTACTCCGTTTATCCTATAGTTAATTAATTGATGGTAAATTAATTTTTGTATATCATTACTTTTTTTTACATAGTACTTCATCACTTGTTTATGTTTAAATTATACAACTGTAATATTCAGTTAGTCGGTTAGTCCCTATAGACAATGTATATTGGATATATATACTACCTGTTAGGGCTACCACATGTCCATATACTAGGGTTAACATCGAATTTCCCATTATTTGACCCGCTTTGCATTTTATTTATATTCTCACTTTTTTACGTGTTTGTTCGTGCGTGTTGATTTAGTTGATAAAATGGATATTGAGTGGCGGCGGAAAAGACGCTGATTCATCCATTTTGGAGGGTCCTAGAGAAGGTGGACGCTTTATTAAAGATGATATGAGAATGGTTGAGACGGTGAAGATCAACGGATTTACAGGATCCGAAATTGAATTGAGCTTTCTGAAATTGGTACTTTCCAAGTCAAATGTCCTCCAAAATGTTGTTATTTGTGAAGCTAAAGACATCAATGACTCTTTGGCTTTTGAGGCTCCAAAAAAGCTTTTAAGCTATCCTCGTGCGTCTCCCAAAGCACAACTTGTCTATAAGGAGTACAAGTAACCCCCAATGTTTCACGCTGAAGTCATTTTGAAACTTTTTGCTAGCCAAGGTAACCTAGGTATGTCTGTAATTGAGGCTGGAACCACTGGCATGCATGGTTCCATTGAAGTTTGTAACTTTGGTTTTGCAGTATCTAAGAATACAAATCTAGCTAGAATGTATTCCATGTTACGTTAATTGTAATCCATTGCCACTACTCAAAAGTTTTTAACTTCTCTTGTGTCAAGGATCCATATATGCAAACCTACGAGTTGTTGAAAGTATGATCAAGCTTGCATGCAAAGGAGTTCAAGGCCATGCACATGTGGAACATTGCTTTGTTTATTATTTACTATTGATTAATATTGTTTTGAATAAGTCTAAGTGGTTAGATGAAGTTTAGGCATTTGATTTGGTCTTCATTTACTCACGTATTTCAATACTTGGCTTAGCATAATTATAGGAGATAGTTGTTATACGTGCTTGGTTGTTGTCATTCTTGTAAAGGCTATATAAAGCCTGTTGATTATCAGTTTAAGTGATGAGCTTGAATACCTCTTTTCCTCTCAAGTTTTAATATACATTCGTATAGTACTTCATAGGCTTTGAACAACATTTGCTATCAGAGCTAGAGAGCTATCCGAGGGCCTGAATTGTGAGAAACAAAACAAAAAAAAGAGTGAAAACAATGCAGACTGCGGGTGGTAACAATGAGAATTCAATCTCCCAATTACCTATGTTCAAGGGTTCAAATTACCACTTTTGGAGTTTGAAGATGAAGACTCTCTTCAAGTCTCAAGAGCTATGGAGCATTGTTGATGAAGGGTTTGAAGATGGACAACCGGAGGAACCAGATCAAGCCTTGAGAGATAGAAGAAAGAAAGATGCAAAGGCTCTCTATTTCATCCAACAAGCCTTGGATGATGAGGTCTTTCCCCAGATTGCTGCAGCCTCAACATCCAAGGAAGCTTGGAGTATTCTTCAAAAGGAATACAGGGGTGACAAGAAGGTCATTGAGGTCAGGCTGCAATCCCTAAGAAGGGAGTTTGAGAATGCCAAGATGAAGGACAAAGAAACTGTCAATGATTACCTCTCTAGGATCACATCAACTGTGCAAAAGATGAGATCATATCGAGAGGAGGTTAAATCCAAACAAGTGATTAGTAAGGTGCTGAGGAGTCTTTCAAGAAAGTACTCTCATCTTGTGGAAGCAATTGAGGAATCAAAGGACATGGAGGTATATACCTTTGATGAACTCAAAGGTTCTTTGCATGCCTACGAGGAAATGGAAGATAAAGAGGAAGATAGGGATGAGACAGCTTTTCAAGCTAAAGCTGACACCTCTAACCATGATAGGACTCAGCAATTCTCAAGAGGAAGAGGAAGATGTCGTGGTAGAGGAGGCAATAGAGGTAGAGGTCATGGCAGAGGGGGCAGAGGTTGCACTCCTGAAAGAAAGGAGGAGCCAACTGGGAGCAATTACAAGAGCCCCATCAAATGCTATTACTGCAACAAGCCAGGCCATAAAGAGGCCTCATGCTGGAAGAAAGAAGAAGATAAGGGAGAAGGAAGAACTGAGAGCAAGTCTAATTACGCTGAGCATGAAAACCTTTTCCTTGCTCAACATAATTGTGATTTTGGACCAAAATCAGTCTCGTATGTGGATAGTGGTTGCTCAAACCACATGACCTGTTGGTGAGGCTTGGAGATGGTAAGCAACTTTCAGTTGAAGGACAGGGAACAATTGAGCTTCCAACTGAGCAAGAAAGGCCAAATTACTGCATAATGTGCAGTATGTTCCTAATCTTGCCCATAATTTGTTAAGTGTGGGCCAGCTTATATGTGGTGGCTATAGAATCCTTTTTGAGGATGATAGGTGTATCATCAAGGATAAGAAGCAAAATGAAGTTGTGATGAAGATACCAATGGGAAAGAATAAAGTCTTTCCATTAGACCTAACCAGAAATGCAGACCAAGCTCTTGTGGTGAAAGGGGATCAAAATGCAAAGCTATGGCACCTGAGGTATGGTCATCTCAACAATCATAGTTTACAATTGCTAAGATCAAAGGAATTTGTGCACGGATTGCCTAGCATTGGGGTGTTAGAATTCTGTGAAGGATGTGTGTATGGGAAGCAGGCTAGAGGTTCATTTCCAAGTGGCAAGGCTTGGAGGGCTAATGAGTGCTTGGAGTTAATTCATGCTAACTTGTGTGGCCCCATGCAAACTGAATCATTAGGAGGAAGTAAGTATTTCTTTCTCCTCACCGATGACTTTAGTAGGATGTCATGGGCGTACTTTCAAAAGACTAAATCTGAGTCTTTTGAGAACTTTAAGAAGTTTAAAGCATTGGTGGAGAAGCAAAGTGGACTGCAAGTGAAGGCCCTAAGAACTGACAGGGGTGGAGAGTTTGTCTCCAAAGAATTTAGTCAATACTGTGATGATCAGGGGATTAGAAGGGAACTTACAGCACCATATACCCCTGAGCAAAATGGGGTAGCTGAGAGGAAAACCAGAACCATTGTTGAAATGGCTAGGTGTATGATGATGAAGGTTAAAGGGCTGCCTAACTCATTCTGGGGTGAGGCAGTTGCAACAGCTGTTTACATTCTCAATATCTCACCTACTATGGCTGTGATGAATTCAACACCATTTGTAGCTTGGAGACTTAAGAAGCCCTCAGTTAATCACCTAAGAACATTTGGGTGTATTGCCTATACCTTGGTAAATCTGAGAACCAAGTTAGATGCTAAAGCAGAGAAGTGCATCTTTGTTGGTTACTCAACTCAGTCAAAGGCTTACACACTGTATAACCCACTCACATGCAAAGTGGTTGTAAGTAGGAATGTAGTCTTTGATGAGGATGCAAAGTGGGATTGGAGTCAAGCCAATCAAACTGATGGAAGCTTGAGAAGGATAGTCAATGTAGAGGAAACTGATGAGCCTATTGAAGACCCTCCACAGCCTAGTCCTCCCTCAACTCCACACAGTTTATCTACTTCTTCAAGCAACCAAAGCTCTCCCTCATCATCCTCAAGTGAATCTCCTCCACGCAGAGTAAGAACATTGGTTGATATTTATGAAAATTGTGATTTTGTTCTAGTTGCTGCAGAACCCACAGGTTTTGATGAGGCTGTTGCTAAGCCAGAATGGCAGAAGGCCATGGAAGAAGAAATTGTTGCATAGAGAAGAATGAAACTTAGGAGCTTGTAAGTCTACCCAAGGAGAAGAAGTCTATAGGTCTAAAATGGGTCTATAGAACAAAATACAACCCGGATGGAAGTGTTTCAAGGCACAAAGCCAGGTTGGTGGTCAAAGGCTATGCTCAGCAGGAAGGCATAGATTATGAGGAAACCTTCTCACCAGTTGCCAGGTTTGAAACTGTGAGGGTTGTCCTAGCCTTAGCTGCACAATGGAAGTTACCTCTGTTCCAGTTAGATGTGAAGTCAGCATTCTTAAATGGAGAACATCAGGAAGAGGTGTTTGTTGAACAACCTCAGGGTTTTGAGAAGAAGAATGAACTTGAGAAAGTGTACAAACTAAAGAAGGCACTCTATGGCTTAAAGCAGGCTAAGGGTTTGGTACAGTAAGATTGATTCATTCTTTACTACTAATGGATTCATTGGGAGTGATAATGAACCAACATTTTACCTAAAGAAGCAAGGTATGGATCAGTTTATTGTTGTGTGCCTTTATGTTGATGACATAGTATACTTTAGCTCCTCAGAAAGTATGTTAGTAGATTTCAAGAATTCAATGAAGCAAAAATTTGAAATGACTGGTCTAGGAATCCTGCAATACTTTCTTGGCCTGGAAGTCAAGCAACAAAAGGAAGGAACTTTCCTGTGGCAAAGAAAGTATGTTATGGATCTGCTTAAAAGGTTTCATATGGAGAACTGTGAGATAGTTAAGACTCCTATGAATACCAATGAGAAGCTGCAGAAGTGTGATGGAACTGAGAAGGTAGATGAAAGGCTATTCAGAAGCCTTGTTGGGGGACTGAATTACCTAAAACACACTAGACCTGACATTGCACACAGTGTTAGTGTTGTGTCTAGGTATATGCATTGTCTTACTAAGCAACATTTTGGTGCAGCCAAAAGAATTCTGAGATATGTGGCAGGAACTCTGGGCTTTGGAGTATGGTATGAAAGTGTAAAACACTTTAAACTTAGAGGCTATACTGATAGTGATTGGGCAGGTTGTGTTGATGATAGAAAAAGCACCTCAGGGTCAGTGTTTGACCTTGGTTCTGGAGCTATTACATGGAGTTCCAAGAAGCAAGATACAATTGCTTTGTCTACCTCAGAGGCAGAGTATATTGCTGCAGGAGCTGCAGCAAAACAAGCATTATGGCTGAAGAAATTACTGAAGGATTTGGGCTGTGAGCAACAAGAAATCCCAGAGATTTGGTGTGTCAACATGTCTACCATTGCAATGGCAAAGAACCCGGCTTTTCATGCTAGAATAAAGCATATAGATGTGGAGCATCATTTCATTAGGAAGCTTGTAGCTGAGGAGATAATAGCTTTGCAATTCTGTGGAACTGAGTTTCAGAATGCAAATCTATTCACTAAGGCCTTGACACAGGTTAAGCACAAGTTTTTCATGAAAAGAATTGGAATGACAAGCTTGGATCAAGGGGAGGTGTTGAAAGTATGATCAAGCTTGCATGCGAAGGAGTTCAAGGCCATGCACACGTGGAACAATGCTTTGTTTATTCTTTACTATTGATTAATATTGTTTTGAATAAGTCTAAGTGGTTAGCTGAAGTTTAGACATTTGATTTGGTCTTCATTTACTCACGTATTTAAATACTTGGCTTAGCATAATTATAGGAGATAGTTGTTATATGTGCTTGGTTGTTGTCATTATATTCTTGTAAAGCCTATATAAAGCCTATTGATAATCAGTTTAAGTGATGAGCTTGAATACCTCTTTTCTTCTCAAGTTTTAATATACATTCGTATCGTACTTCATAGGCTTTGAACAACACGAGTTTCCATGTGAAATTGTAAGCTCTTTTATGTCGTATCGTCTCCTAATTTTCCATTGCTAGTTTGCTACTGCTCAAAGTTTTTAACTTCTCTTTTAGGCAATTATGCATACCTACGAGTTGCACTGACAAAACACCCTAATGCTATTTTGTCACTCTGCTCCCATTAAGGTGAACATAACCCTCATCCCGTCGTCCAATATTTGTATATCATGTGGTAGAGATTTATTTTAGCACATTTTTTACAAAGTTAACATTTTTTGTCAATCAATGTTAAAGTGAAATATTGTCTATTGATAATTAATTAAATTCTAATAATAATTAAAAGTTACATTTTCAGAAACTTGATTAGAATCTCTATAAAGATGCAAAATAAAATTAAACTTTAATTAAAAATTGATATACTAATTAAGTGAATAAAATGATCTGAGTTTGTTTGACCCAAAAAAGTTAATTTTGCAACTCAAATTGGGATAGAGAGAATATACTCAATTTGGGATAAAATGAATTTCGTTTCTTTAATTCCATACACCATGTACTTCGTACTAGACACTTATTATATACTACGACTTTGTTTGCAACCACTTGTACTTAAATAAAAACACTTTTTGGAAAAAAGTGATTAGTAGTAAAAGTTGGTAGTGTTTGGTAAAATAAGTGCTTTTTGTGTAATAGAAAAAGTAAAAAGTAGATTCTACACGAAAACCGAGATAGTAAAAGTTGGTAGTATTTGGTAAAATAATTACTTTTTTCTTAAAAAAAGCCAAAAGCACTTATAAATACAGTTTGCAAATAGAGCCTAGTTCATAGTCACTAAATCAGTTCGTAAGTTTCTGCAAAAGACATAACATCCATTTGACTAAAAACAGAAGTGATTAGTGCATGTCACAATATTCATACAAAAATTAGAGCGGGTGTAGTGTTAAAGTGCACAAACAAAACTACCACCCATTTTGCATGTAGCTAATGCGAATAAGAGGTTTGTACTAGCACATTCTACTTGGAATAATAGCCATTACACAACAATTTTTGCTATGGGAGATACACGTGGAAATTGCAAAACTTCTTCCAAAGTTTCATGTTTCTTGTTGTCGTCTAACATACGCTCAGCACAAGTGATGATAACTTTTTCAAGTGCCCGAAGAGAGGCCAACATCTCCTTTATGAAAAGCATTTCAGATCTTATTCCATGGAATGAGCCAAGCTGCAAAAGGCGAAGCTGTTTGCATTTTCGAACCGCCCTATGAAGTTTCTTCCAGCACGCCGATGTAGAATCTATTGTATCTTGACTATCTTCTGTCCACTTCAAAAATGAAAAACCGAAAAAAAAAATGGTTCAGCTTAACATACAGTAAAACATTGTTAATTGTAAGTAGTACTCCGTATAAATTAAACCAAACATAGAATATAATGGAAACAATCAAAATCCTACAATAAATTATAAATATTACCGAAAGCCTTACTCCAAGACTTTGTAGCTTTGGGCATATGCGTAGTAGGCGTACAAAGGCAGAGGTCCTACCGTTATCTTGGAAGCAAAAATTTGAGAGCTTTAGTGATTCCACATTTATTGCAGCTGTTTGTGGTGGAAGTACCTTTAGAGCACATTTGCCAAGAATTCAAGAAAATATATGGAAATAAAGTTTCACCACTGCAAACATATATGAGGTACATATACACATGTATAAAGTAATATAATAGGATGAAAGTCCAAACAAGATGTCCAGGGAAAATACCTTAAGAAAATGATAGTCCAAATCAAGGTTACGAACAGATATCAAGTCAGGGGCAAGTGTGGGGAAGTTGCAGAACTTGCTATAAAAACAACCCTTGATTTTCAAAGTGCAAAGATTTCTAGCAGTGATGTTGGACTGTAAGACATACATACACCTCTTAAATAACAGTTCCTTTAGCATAGGAACATCAACAACTTTATATGGGGGGCGCATATGACCAAAGTCAACATCTTCAAAATATAGGGAAGTGAGATTGGGTAAAGTGTCAGGTAAATCCCATGTTTGAATGTTGATATCACGAAGATGCAAACTCTTGAGCGTTGAGCACGAAAATATACAATGGGGAAGCCGGTATGCTTTATGCCCAAAATAAAGGTCGACTTCTACAACACCTTTACGTGTGACTAAACGTAGCCATTGATCAAAGTCAAAAGACCTAGACTTAATGGTAAGTACCCCCATATTAGTTAAATCAATGACAATTTTCCGAATAGTTCCCTTGTGCTGCAAGAGCACTTTGTTGATTACATACAAAGCGGAGGACTTCATGACATATCTGCTAGACTGATATTTTTTGTCAAAGTAGCTAAAGAACTGACTATCAAAACAGAGCTGTGTGAGAGTGAACCAGATATCTCTCCAAATGGTAGACAAAACTGCAAATTTAGCAATATCTTGGATAGGTACTAATCCCAAAATATGGTCCAATATGTCTTCTGGAAGTTGACTGATTCTATCTCTCCCCGCCATTCTTGCTTGTATAGCTTTAGCACGCGTAAAATTTAGAGATTAAATCAATCAAATGTTATAAGAACATAGACATGATAAATCCAAATGAAAGAGCAGTACATGACTAGGGTGAGTAAATTAGAAATAAAAACTGACCCAGATAACCAAAACACTTCTTACTTAATTCATGGAAGCGGCATGCTTATCGCTCATGGCCATAATAGAAGAGAAACAGGAAATCTGGACGCAGTAGCACACCATAAAACATTCGAGGAACTGAAACGGGAAAGACGTTTGAGCTTTCGACGTTGTCAGGGAGACTGGGAGAGATGTAAATCTCGGTTAGCGGATACCTCGATGAGAGTGTATCATATGCACTAATTTGCATAAATGTGTCTTTTTATGTTTGATTTGTGTGAATTGTTTACCATTTTATTTAGTATGTAAATATTTGTGTGATTTTAATTTTAATTGTATTTTAGTTCTCATTTGGAAAGGAAGACTTTGAATGTGAAGAAAAATAATTCTTGGCTGTCAAGGACAAATCACCCGGTCGGGTGAGGTATTGCACCCGGTCGGGTGAGACATTGAAATGTGAAACTGCTCAGGAAATTACATCACCTGGTCGGGTGAGGTATTTCATATAAAACCCCCCTGTTATTACTTATTTATTTCTATAAAAAGAGAAGTGTTCCTTTCCCTGTGGATACGAACCTTACTTCATTATACTACGTATAATTGTTGTATTGAATATTATTTTGAGTGCACATCACGACAAAGTGCACGTCAAATTTGGCGCCGTTGCCGGGGAAGGGCAATTATTTTTCTTTTTATTTTTTTTTTTAAAAAAAATCAAAAACAAAAAATTAAACAAAATATAAAGAATTCTTACTTTTTCTATTTCTGAGCTTACATGAGTATATGGTAAAAACCCGTTCTATAAACGAACTCACTTACCAAACAAACCCCGAAATAGAACAAGCCTTCGAGAGGTTGAGAAATTTATTTCAGCACACACCCTCGGAGGAATCCTCAAACGCTAGCTCTAGCTCTAGCGAATCCGAAGAGTCATTCCACATGGCTCTCGAGACAAGGATCTTAAGGGAGCTCACCGCTCCCAACCTCAATCAACAACAGTTATGTATTACCTTCCCTAAACTCAATGAGGGTAATACATTTGAGCTAAAATCTGGGCTCATTCATCTATTGCCATCTTTCCATGGCCTGAGAGGAGAAGACCCGAACAAACATCTCTCGGAATTCCATATTGTTTGCACGAGCATGTGCCCAAATGGAGTCACCGAGGAGCAAATCAAATTGAGGGCTTTTCCATTCTCCCTTAAAGACACCGCAAAGGATTGACTATTCTATCTTCCTTCGGGGAGTATAGATACATGGGCAGCAATGAAGAAATGCTTCCTAGAAAGGTATTATCCCGCTTCTGTCTCATCATCTTTGAAAAAACAAATAAGCAACATTGATAAAAAAGATGATGAGTCCTTATATGAATATGGGAGAATTTGACTTTGCACCCTATGTTTTGGTTGATATTGGACTTTGCACCCCATTTTCAAAATCATTAATATTTGCACCCTATTTCACTATATAATCATTTGACTTCGCACCCCACTCCTTCACAATTTTTGAGCTAATGGGATGCAAATATTAATGATTTTGAATATGGGGTGCAAAGTCTAATATCGCCTAAAACATAGGGTGCAAAGTCAAATTTCCCCTATGAATATTGGGAGCGATTCAAAAAGTTGTGTGCTAATTGCCCATATCATGGGTACACTGAGCAAGACCTCATCCTTTACTTTTATGATGGTCTTGCGGATCAAGATAGGCGCATGGTTAATGCGGCGAGTGGAGGGGGGATTGTTAACAAAACCTCTTCTCAAGCAAGAAATTTCATCTCGGAGTTGGCCGAGAATTCTAGATACTACAATGGGCGATCCTCAACCCGGAGGGTTGCCGCGGCGGAATCTACCACCTCGTTGGAAAGTCAAGTGGCCGGCTTGACTTCTTTGGTTAAAGATTTTCTCTTAAAACCCAAAATCCAAGAAGTCAAGGTTTGCGGCATATGTTCAACACAAGGGCATCCGACCGATTCATGTCCATCAATACAAGAGGAGAATTTTGAGCAAGTCAACGCCTTGGGTTTCCAAGGACATCAACAAAGGAGGTACGACCCATTCTCAAACTCTTACAACCACGGATTGAGGGATCATCCAAACTTGAGGTATGGAAACCCCCAACAATCCAACCCATCTTCTCAACCACCTTTCAACAATCAAGGCTCAAATTCTCAACCTAATATGTCAACTGATGACATGATAAGAGCTTTGACTTCAAACATGGTTACCATGCAACAAAGCATGGGACAATTTCAACAAACCATGTGATATGCACTATTTCCTAGTGCATAAGTTTGTTATTTTAGTATTGTTTGATTGTTATTTTTAATTGTTTAGTTTAGTTTGTGATGTACTCTATAGATTTATTTTGTAGGTTTTAATTTGTATTTTTAGTGTGTATTTTGTTGTAAGTACCATAAGGGATGCAAGGAAGTATTATAGGCACCAAAGGAAGGCAAGATGAATGGTGGAAATAAATTCTGGTAGCAAACCCGGTCGGGTTGCAATATAACCCGACCGGGTTGGAAGTGACATATGAAGCCAAAGGGAAGCTACGCACCAAAACCCGGTCGGGTTGGTATAAAACCCGGTCGGGTTGAGTTGACAAGAACAAAAGAACGTGTCCAAGATCAAGAGAACGTGGGAAATATCCAATTTGATACGTAACCCGGTCGGGTTTTGACCCAACCCGGTCGGGTTGAATGTGATTTCAGCACCTTCCGAGCAATTAAGGATACCCGATCGGGTATTCTACATACCCGGTCGGGTATAAGACCCAGCCACCTCAAAATACCTATAAATACACCCCCTTTTCCTCCCATTTAGAACAAACCAATTCATTTATACTCTTAAGCTCAGTTTAGAATAGCATTTCTTTATATTTCTTCTAACATGTTTAGTCTCCAAATGAGGAGCTAAACTTCCATTTCTTGGTATTGCTCTTGAAGCTTGTTGATTATTAAAGTTGTGAGTTATTTTCTTAACTTCTTTCCTTGAATATTAATTCTTCCTTTAAATACTATTTCTATATCAATGTTGGGGAGTGTTACTAAGATGACAATGAGTTAACATCTTTACATTGGTCTTAGTAATAGCTATTCCTTCCTCTATGTTAATATTGGGGAGTGTTACTAAGATGACAATTAGTGAACATCTTGATATTAACTATAGTAGGATTCATTTTCTTTAATATTCTTCCTTTAGTGTTAATTAATTCTTATTCATATTTCATATTAAGGGAAAAGGGGCAAATAAGCCCTCGAACTAATCAAAAAAGTGCAAATAAGCCCTTTTGTAGGAGGTTCTTACTGATCATCGTCATTTGGGGAGGTTCTCGGTGGAATTTTTTGATGAATTTTTTTGAGCATCTTCTTCATCAAGTCTAGTTTAGCCATACCAAATTTCAGCTAAAAATTAAATCGGGAAGGCACTCAAATGATTTTCGAAAATACACTGTGTTGTTTAACTACGCAATTATCTTCAAAAATTCATTTGACTATCTTCCCGATTGAATTTTTAGCTGAAATTTGGTATGACCAAACTAGACTTAATGAATAAGATGCTCAAGAATTTTCATCAAGAAATTCCACCGGGAACCTCCCCAAATTACGATGGCCAGACAGAACCTCCTATAAAAGGGCTTATTTGCACTTTTTTTATTAGTTTGAGGGCTTATTTGCCCCTTTTCCCTTCATATTAATATTTTGAACATTACTTAAAGGATCAACTAGTTTTGTTTCATATATTAATTATTACTAGAAACGATCAATGAACCGATGGTTAATCGTTGATAGTTTCACAAGTAAGTAACTTCGGTTTATTAATGCACGGTCGTGGTTAATAAACTTAAGAGGGATTAATTTTGTTAGTTAAACCGAAACCGTTGTGCTGAGCTTATCAATCTCAATTGATTTCATCAAGGAGTTAAAAGATTAAATGCTACTATCAAGTCGGTATATGGCGTTGTTCTATGCTTGACTAATAGTAAGGGTTAATAATGAACGGTCGTTGTTAATAACTATCCTCGATGAATTGGATATACTCCTCGATTGAGTATTCGAGAGGAGATAAGTTATAGATATAACAATGATCGACTAAAATATATCAACAAGTGTAAAGTAGCAATGCCAAGTCCTTTTTATCTTTGAATTAAATCACATATAACTCGTTCATCTTCATGTTTAAATTTAATTAAATCACTCAATCCCAAAACCCCCCTTATATACTAGTTTTACTAAAAAGAGAATTATTCCTTTCCCTGTGGATACGAACTCTACTTCACCTATACTACGTATAAGTGTTGTATTGATATTTATTTTGACGGCACACCACGACAAAGTGCACGTCAAATTTGGCGCCGTTGCCGGGGAAAGGCAATTATTTTTCTTTTTATTTTATCTCATAAAAATCAAAAACAAAAAAATTAAAAATTAAAATAAAAAATAAAAAGAAAAATCTTACTTTTCTATTTTCTGAGCTTACATGAGTATATGGATACCAACATATCATCCCTAGAGAGTCAAATTTCCGTATATAAAGCTTCAACCGGGAAGGCACTCAAATGATTTGTGGAAGATAACTGCGTTTTATATGTATATAAACTGTGCAGTTAACTTCCAAAAACCATTTGACTGCCTTCCGGATTGAATTTTTAGCTGAAATTTGGTGTGGATAAACTAGATTTCATGAAGAACATGCTCAAAAAATTTCAGCAAAAAATTCCACCGGAAAGGGCCCCAAATGGCGACGGCCGGACGGCGGGTTCTGTCCCTCCGGCTGGACAGGATCAGGCCTCTATATATATTTCAATTTATTTATGTCTATTTTTTTATCAAATATGTTCACATATTAATTTTTTCCCCCAATAAACTAGAAATTATTATTTTCAAAAGTGCCCCCCTCCCTATTAAAGAGTATTTGATACTGCAAAGCCCTCATTTACTTGGCACACATCTTTTTAAATCTATTAATTTTTTAAGCCAAAACTGTTGGTTCAGAGCTGGCTTTAAGAAAGTCAAAATTCAAAAGTGCTTTAGGAACTAAAACATCTTTACATTTAAACAAATGTTTGTTTTATTTATTTTTTTGGACATATTATGCAAACAATAATATATTACAAACTTTTTGGGAAATTTTGCAGGGAAAATAAAAAAGTAATAGATTTTAATCATTCGTTGGGCATAAGTCGCACGAAGTGCGTACTCTGCTAGTATATATATATAT